TGCCTGCACGAGGGCGCCCCCTGCCGGTCGGGAGGCCCTGCTGCGCCCTCGGCGGCACGAAGCCGGGATCCGCCCCCCGACCTCCCTGCGCCCTCGAAAGCTTTTCCCGTATTTCGCTTGGTTTAGAAATTTAGAAATCACACAGAGAAGTCGGCTTCACTGCTGTCTCTTACCGCCTGTCAATCCTTTTCATTCTCCTGTTCTCTTGCACTATCACAAAGCTACAGTATTGCCACTGCTGACATTCCAAAGAAACATGTCTAAAGAGGAAATCTAAAGAGAAAACGGTTCAGATTTCAATTAAAAATATATAAATACGTTCTCTACCACATTTTGGATCTATATTAAATATTCCTTTAAACATTGTCTCTCTATGAACTACATGAATTTTACACCATACAAATTAATAACGACATACATGCTTTTTGCATAGTTTTTCTTTATTACATAAGTCTTCCTCCCTCTTTCAGAGTATGACTTCCGGGGATAAATGTTTCTGAACAGGACTTGTACTAGTCATGTAATTATCTTTCAAAAAGGAGGACTGAAAATTATAAACTAGCAGAGATGAATCGTAGGTGTTCCTTTCTGCAGCCTTATACGTTCACTCAAGAATAAAAACTGTAATCCTGTTCTTTTAACTTGCTATATATGTTGATTGAACAAGTGAAAATATTTCCCATTTCATCAGCAGCTTCTATTTCCATGTAGTTTCTTCACCAGGTTTCAATTCTCTGTGTGGAAAGGAAAAAGAAAGGCAGGGGAATAACATTAGGATCATTTCTGTAGGATAATTACTAATAAATGTAAGTTTTAATTATTATAGAAAACCTTGATGTAAGCTTTCATTATTATAGAAACCTTGACTGAAATTTATATTAATTATAATGAATAAATCTGACTTTCTTTCAAAGTGTTGTGTTGTCAGTTTAGAATCTTTCAATATGGGTAAATGTTCTCTTTTTCTTTCCAAAGCTGCTCGAGTCCGCTTCAATTAGTTCAAACGTGGGCACCGAACACCTAACCTCTAATAACATAACAAACTTTTTGCATAACAGGGCCTTATTTCTTTTGAATAGAAAAACATCATTACTTTACTGGGGAAAAACAAACAAACAAACAAAACCAGAGGAAGCTTTTGCAACATACTGAAAGGCCAGTGCAATTTAACCACTAACTGCAGTGAGAAAAGTGCTAATAACAGTGGCGTGAGCAGTGGGCGTGTTACTTTACTTTCTCACTCAGAATTATTAGCCCATGGGACACCAGAGTAAAAAAAAGTCACTTGCAAACCATATATACCAACATTTCTACTTTTCTTCCAGTCTGTGATAGACTAGAATTAGTAATTATGCAGCATGATTCTTTTTCTGCTGTTTGGTTAACCCTGCAGTCTTATACAGATTTAAGAGAACTGATCTAGATGAGGCAGCACATTTAGTTATCTCAATTCTCCCCGAGCAGTAAGCCAGCAAGCCCATACCATGGGTATATAGTCATATCCTCAGTAAAGACACAGCAGTTGCTAACATTAAACGTTAAACATTCAAAATACAGAAGCTGGGTTAATTTAAAAAAGACGATAATTATGTAAATGATGCAAATTTATACAAGTATTTACATGCTATATATGTATACATGCTATGTATATATATGTTGTCATACTTTTAAACTTAAGATATAATTTTACTATAATCCACTGAAAAGGTTAAAATTAAAGGAAAACCCAAGTACTATTTGCTTCTGCTGAAGTTTTAGACAGAGCCAAGATAAGGTTTGCACAGTTTCATGGCTAAGCACTTGGCAGCAGTTAGTATGATTAACAAGCTTTGGAAAGCTAAAGCCTTTTATACCAATGCAAAAATACCTTCTTTTTCCAAATTATTTGATATCAAATCAATATTTAGTTACTTAAAATGGAAAACTAATTGGAAGCTGAAAAAGATCACTTTCCATTTTCAATACACAAAAAAATGCAAGAGGCTGCATTTTCCCACCTGTAGAAAAATCAAGGACACGGAGAATACGGAAATTCATACCTACAGACTACTTCCCTAGCTTAATAAGTTACTTTACATTAAAATATGTTTTATAAATTTGTCCCCTCCCTCCCCCTGCAATTATCACATTTAACATTATTTTGTTAGGTAAAGTTTGTCAGAGCTCTAGTATTGTGCATTTAAGTGAACTTGGTACGGTATCCAAATGCAGCTAAATAGGAGGACTCAAAAACATTTCCAGAAGGACTTAAGGGAAGAGGGGGGGAGGAGAAGAGTGCTTTGGAGGTCCTCCCCTTTTCATACACTTTCTCCGGGCCCAGTATACAGAAAAATCCATCTTAAACAGTCTCTTCAGAAGTACAGTTTACAGAATGTTTCAAGTGGTGTTTTTACTTCAACCCTTTGAGATTCTTTTTTATTAGTAGTATTTCAGACAATGTTACTTTTATTTAAAAAGGAACAGTAACAATTTCTATGCAGCAAAGACTGTGTTAATATGCCACGTTAATTACACTGTAAATGGTGAAGTATAATGGTTAAGTAAATGATTAAATTTTATTTGAAGATTTTTTTCCTAGCAACATGAGTTTCTTATTTATGCACATATTTAGGTTTCTATTTATTTTTCTAGTCATCCTTTTCATAAGTCTACTTAGACATAAATGAAAGTGTCTTAACGTTTACTAATTCTTGCATTTGTTTATCTTGCTTCCAAGAATAACATTTATTAAAAAAAATTTTAAGTCAATTATCTCAACTAATAGGTCAAATGGACAGAATCGCGCACACTTTCTTTCATGACTTATAGCACTAAGATGGGCCCTAAAGCACAGATTTTCAGGAGGCATTAGTCACTCAAAACTCTTAATGAAAGTTGACTGAAATTTTTAGGGCTTTCTTCCTCTTAATATTTTGACAGCATTACTGACTTTTTTTTGTACTTGAGACTCTCAAAAAGAACAGAGAAGCACATCTACTTTGCAAAATAACAGAACATATATATTTTAAAAAGGTATCATACGCAAACCTTCTATACAGCAAGCTCTTGTTTCTGAAGGCTGACAATTTTTCATCGTTCATTCTGTCCAAATAGCATCCAATCACAAATCCTAGGGGAACAAGGATGTGAACCCAGTGATCACGCACAGCTTGCATGAAATTCACCATGACTGCTAGAAAGAGAAGTGTAACACAGAAGAGTTACTGATAGAGCTGCACACGACAACTGCGACATACCTAGCGCCTTTACTCTCACGTACTAGGATCCTACTATGGAATAATAAACACATGAGGGCCATTAAACACTCCATGCAAGGTGCATGCTGTTCTCAGGTCCAAACACAGGATTCTTACAAAAAAGCTCGGTGGTGCTGGGAAATAGGATCTTATCCTAAAGCTAGAGATGAGTAGACTCTTTTAAGGCATCATTGGCAAAATAGTGACAAAATAATCTACCCACAGCAGCAAAATAATTTACCCATTAAAACAAATCTAAAAGGACAGAAATTTGCTCTCCTGCAAAACATAACACATGTATTTACAGTGCCAAATCCTGCAGATGGATGCCCTAATATCAGTAAAAAGTCACAAAGACAAGCCTCGCAGTCACTTGGCCATTGACAGAGAAGCAAGATAACATATCTGTTAAATCCGCAAAGCCTGTTCCAACCTCACCAGCCCAAACCTTCCGCATGAGTGTCCTGCGGGACGATCTGAGACAGCCCGGC